ATCTACAAACGGTAAAAAATGGCTGTTTTTCTGACTAGCTAAAAATGTCAATTATCATAATTTGTAATTTATACCGTTGTTATATCCAGATGATGCAAAAATAAGTTAAAGTTGCAGACCAATTTAGACTTAGAATGATAGATAATAAGCAAAATAAGCAAATTATTTTATTAACTTAGAGGAAATATTAACTTATAATAGAAAATATTATGAAAATCATTTTCAATAGGTCTAAATTTCARTGTAAAATTAAAGTAGACTAATAATGTAATAAAATAATAATCATTTATCAATATRTACATTAATCTTATAATAAGGCAAAATTACGTCCATCCAGCACTATACTTTCATTTCCGCAGAAGCATGTTGCTCGATAGAAAGTTTCACTTTTACCTAAATTAATTTATTYTGGCAAGCTTACAAGACACTGGTCYTTTTCCATAAATTATGGCTTAAGTAGTAACATTGTAGTAACAATTTCAAAATATTGGAYCTCTGACACTTAAAAAGTCTTTTGAGCAGTGAATTATGTATTTTTGCATAGGTGATGTGAACAGAAAAGATAATTTTATGAAGATAAAAATATGAAACACATGTCAAAACATGTGGGCACAACTTTCGAAATTGCCAATTAACCACTGAATTATTGCCGTAGGGAATTCCCTTCCTTTCTTTTAAAATTTCTAAATAAAGAAATTATGAAGTCTGTCTCGGGATATAATATTAAACTAACCAAGGATATGTTTTCTTAAGTTCTCAAAGCACGTGGTTGCACTTTCTCCTATGTTTCTTATAACCGTTGAACACGTGCAGTCTCAATTCAGCTGAATTTAATCTGAATTTCCTAAAAAGACTCGCAAAACAACATGTATTCTTTTCACGACCATGTGGAATTCCAAATTAAAGTATAATGAGATAATTTTAGTGAACTTAAGTAAGAAATAATACACTTACCTTTACTGCTCGACTTCATCAATAAACAACCCAGCAAAATTCCATAAATTTCGCTAAGCCGAGCCAATCRTATTCCGAAATTGAATTGTCGCCTTCTGATTTGCGAATGGCCTTAGCCAATACATTTCCCGAATTGGCTTTCGAAATCAGAAATGGCGGCAAACAAGCTTTTRTACRATTACATGCAAGCAAMTTRCATTTTTYAACACAACAGAAAGCACCAAATGTGATTGTAGTAAAAGARCAACAACATCAATTGAAAAAATGCATTTTAATTTTTAATTTAAGTTCGTATTTTGTTTTCCMGTCACCTAAATACATCAATATCACATATTTCTGGTTGTACTTTGGTTTGGCCAAATAATGACGAAAATAACTCATTTCTGAAAAAAAGAACAGAAATTACATGTCAATAAATAGTGACATWAGTATGATAATAATATAATAATTTATGAATTTAGTCAAGGTAAACACTTTTTAGGGTGTCAAAACTATTTTCATGCTAAAATAATGAATTTCAAGASAGTAGAATCAGTACAAATTGCTTATTCCTTTGTTTTCTATTGTCTAATCAACACAATTTAAGCGTTATGTTCCTCATTGTGTGAAGATAAGCAATGAATCGACACTATTTAGTGGTAACTAATAATGGTTTTAAAGATTTAGGTGGATACTCTATTCAAAAACTGTAACAAAATAGTAAAACTGACCTTGAGGAGTCTGGCATGGACCCTCTCTCTATTGGTGGCATGTAGCTGACCAGTTTACTYAAGACATTATATCTTGAAAATTAAGACAAAACGATAATAAAAATAGATTCATAAATGTATAAATGAAATAAAATGGAGTCATATAATCTGATAAGCATCATTTTAATCACATAATATCATGTTTACGCAGTTGTTTGGGTATTGCAGTGACATGAATCTATTCATTGATTTGTCCAGACTTGATACAGAATAATTTACCGAAGAGAAAGCAAAACTTTTCCTCCTGTATCAACATAGCTCAAGACAATGACTTTTAAACACAAACAACAATCGAAACTTGAATTTGGTGCTGTGCATGATATAATGCCRACTAATGTGTACCTCAATTTCCGTCCTTTACTTGCTTTAGTGTCYACTTTCTTCTTTATTTTACGTCTTAATTTTTGTAGTTCAAGCCACTGTCTATAATAATATTGAGAAGAAAAAAACACATTTACCAGATACCATGCCATGTTTTGGACATTGATTTTAGTGTAAAATACTAAAAAAAGTTTTCATTACCTTCCCATTTCAATAGGATCATCTGCATTGGAAGCTGTTAGTCTTTCAATTAATTCACGTAAAAGCTGTACAAACATTTAGTAAAAAAATTGGATATTTTAGTGTTATAGGGAACATCTA